TCCCTTTTTGGATTGTAAAAAGTATTTCTACCCAACTTTAAAAGATCTATCAATTACATTTCTTGGGTATTTTAAATCATTACCTATTTCATAAATTTTGGATATTTCCTCATCTATGAACTCAGGACTACAAATTCGTAAAGCTCTCAGAAACATTGATGAGAAAACAGACAGTTTGACTCTATCTTGATGCGAGGAATAATAGTGGACATAGGAACAGTCAAACTGTCTGTTTTCTCATCAATGTTTCTGAGAGCTTTACGAATTTGTAGTCCTGAGTTCATAGATGAGGAAATATCCAAAATTTATGAAATAGGTAATGATTTAAAATACCCAAGAAATGTAATTGATAGATCTTTTAAAGTTGCTAGAAATACTTTTTACAATCCAAAAAGGGACAACCAGCCTTATTCAACTAAAAATATGTTGGTTCTCCCTTACCATGAAAACTTGGTTGATATGCCTTCTCTCCTTAAGACTTGTAATATTAAAGTTGTATTCAAAAATCTTGATACAGTAAAAAAACTTTTGATAAAGAATTCCCCCCAAAATGCTGATGGTAAGATACATTGACCGTGCTTTTTGTAATAGGAATAAGAAGATGAGAGATAGAGTGTGCTTCCCTGGAGCTGGTGTTGGGGACATTGTCAACAGGCTGGATAATATCATGTCAGGTAATGGGAGCAAGCCCATTATCTGTCTCAGTGCTGGTGGAAATGATATTGGGAAGGGTAGGAGAGAAGAGCTGCTAGATAAGTACAGGTCAGCTATAGATTTCATTAAGTCTAAGGGAGGGATCCCAATCATATGTAGCATCTTGCCTAGAAGGGGAGTAGGAAATGAATGGTTGTCTAGGGCAATTGGTGTAAATTGCTGGCTAGACAGATACTGCAAGGAACTTGCAATCCCATTCATTGACAACTGGAACAACTTTTATGGCAAATATGATATGTATGCAAGGGATGGGTACATCTCTCTGGGGCTGGGGTGGTAGCACTTGCAGACTCGATTGAGAAGGCCATTGGCGAAATGCCTATGATTTTAAACTGATGGAAGATAGAGGTATGGGTGTGTGTGGGAAACAAGCAGGTTGCAACACTTGGGTTGGAAACAGTAAATGTATAAAAGGCATTCAGCATGAAGTTATAAATAAAGACAATAGATCAGGTCAGCAAACAAAGGGGGACAGCAGAGGGCAGCAAGGGACTAGCTCCCTTAAGGTTTACTATACTAATAGCAGGAGTGTAAGAAATAAGATAGATGAGCTAAGATTAATTGCAAGTGCAGGAAACATAGATATTATTGCTATAACAGAGACCTGGCTCAATCTGAAAGATAGAGAGATGCCCTCTGAATGTCACATACAAGGCTATAAATTATTCCACACTGACAGGGTCAACAGGAAAGGTGGTGGAGTAGCGATGTACGTCAGAGACAATTTAAATTGTTGTGTTAGACAAGATATTAAATTAGAAGCGTCAGCCACTGAATCTGTTTGGTTACAGCTTCTCGAGGGCCGAGAAAAACTAATTTTGGGTGTGATTTACAGGGCCCCAAATCTTGATAGGGAGTGCAGTAAACTTCTATGGGACGAAATTCGTAAGGCATCTACATACGAAAATGTTGTGCTAATGGGAGATTTCAACTATAGACAGATTGACTGGAACAATTTGACAGGAAATTTAGAGTCAGGTGACTTTCTTGATACGATCCAGGATTGTTTTTTAAAACAGTTTGTGACAGAGCCAACTAGGGGAAATAACCTCCTTGACTTGGTTCTTGCCAGTAGGGAAACACTAATTAATAATCTTGAGGTTAATGATGAGCTTGGGGAAAGTGATCACAAATCACTCAGTTTTAATATATCATGGAATTCCCCTAATAATGGCAATCAAGTCTCCGTCCCTGACTTTCGCTTGACTGATTTCATAGGACTGAAAAATTACTTAGGTGGGCTGAACTGGAATGACCTGACTAAGGGTCAGGTAGGTGGTGATGGTTGCCGATATGATGCTTTCCAGGGCATAGTTCTAGCTGCTCAGTCAAATTATGTTCCAAATAGGGAAATCAGATCAAACAAAAATGATCCTAAATGGATGAACAATAGATTAAAATATCTAATTGGTCAAAAGAGAGGCATATTATAGGCAAATCAAAAAAGGAGAGGGGCAATTGAGAAATCGATATATTCAGTTAAAGAGAGAAATAAAAAAGGGAATTAGAAAAGCAAAAAGAGATTATGAGGTTAAAGTTGCAAGAGAATCGAAGACTAACCCAAAAGGATTCTTTCAGGTATACAGAAGTAAGATCAGGGACAAGATAGGCCCACTCAAAAGTTCCTCGGGTCAGCTCACTGACAGTGATAAGGAAATGCGTAGAATTTTTAACACATACTTCCTCTCAGTTTTTACACAGGAGGATACCAGCGATATTCCAGTAATGATAAATTATGTAGAACAGGACGATAATAAACTGTGCACTATTAGGGTCACAAGTGACATGGTCCTTAGGCAAATAGATAAATTAAAACCTAACAAATCCCCAGGCCCTGATGAACTGTATGCAAGGGTTCTAAAGGAATGTAAAGAGGAGCTTAGCACACCTTTGGCTAATCTTTTCAACATATCACTACAAACTGGCATGGTGCCAGATAAGTGGAAAATGGCAAATGTGATACCTATTTTCAAAACAGGTGACAGGTCCTTAGCTTCGAACTATAGACCAATAAGTCTAACCTCCATAGTGGGAAAATTTATGGAATCAATAATTGCCGAGGCAGTTCGTAGCCACCTTGAAAAGCATAAATTAATCAACGAATCTCAGCATGGTTTTACAAAGGGGCGTTCCTGCCTTACGAATTTATTAACTTTTTTCACTAAGGTATTTGAGGAGGTAGATCATGGTAATGAATATGATATTGTGTATATGGACTTCAGTAAGGCTTTTGACAGGGTCCCACATCAGAGACTATTGAGGAAAATTAAAACACAGGGAATAGGAGGAGAAATTTTTTCCTGGATAGAGGCATGGTTGACAAATAGGGAGCAGAGAGTTTGCATAAATGGGGAGAAATCAGAGTGGGGGAAATGTCACGAGCGTGTTCCACAGGGGTCAGTGTTGGGCCCCCTGCTGTTCACAATCTACATAAACGACATAGATGAGGGCATAAAGAGCGACATCAGCAAGTTTGCCGATGACACCAAAATAGGCCGTCGAATTCATTCTGACGAGGACATTCGAGCACTCCAGAAGATTTGAAAAAGACTGATGCAGTGGTCGGAGAAGTGGCAGATGCAGTTTAATATAGACAAATGCAAAGTTCTAAATGTTGGACAGGACAATAACCATGCCACATATAAACTAAATAATGTAATCTTAATATTACGGATTGCGAAAAAGATTTAGGAGTTCTGGTTAGCAGTAATCTGAAACCAAGACAACAGTGCATAAGTGTTCGCAATAAAGCTAATAGAATCCTTGGCTTCATATCAAGAAGCATAAATAATAGGAGTCCTCAGGTTGTTTCTTCAACTCTATACATCCTTTGGTTAGGCCTCATTTAGATTATGCTGCACAGTTTTGGTCACCTTATTACAGAATGGATATAAATTCTCTGGAAAATGTACAAAGGAGGATGACAAAGTTGATCCCATGTATCAGAAACCTTCCCTATGAGGATAGACTAAGGGCCCTGAATCTGCACTCTCTAGAAAGACGTAGAATTAGGGGGATATGATTGAGGTGTATAAAAGGAAGACAGGAATAAATAAAGGGGATGTAAATAGTGTGCTGAAAATATCTAGCCTAGACAGGACTCGCAGCAATGGTTTTAAGTTGGAAAATTCAGATTCAGGAAGGATATAGGAAAGTACTGGTTTTGGTAATAGAGTTGTGGATGAGTGGAACAAACTCCCAAGTACCGTTATAGAGGCCAGAACGTTGTGTAGCTTTAAAAATAGGTTGGATAAATACATGAGTGGATGTGGGTGGGTGTGAGTTAGACCTGATAGCTTGTGCTACCAGGTCGGTTGCCGTGTTCCTCCCTTAAGTCAATGTGACCTGACCTGACTAGGTTGGGTGCATTGGCTTAAGCCGGTAGGAGACTTGGACCTGCCTCGCATGGGCCAGTAGGCCTTCTGCAGTGTTCCTTCGTTCTTATGTTCTTATGTTCTTATGTGTCTACAAGATTCCTTGTAAAATTTGCGATAAAGTTTATTACGGTCAAACTGGTAAAAATCTCGAACTAAGATTAAAACAACATAAATATAGCATTAGAACTGGACAAGATTCCAATGCTCTATTTATTCATGTAAGAGATTTTAACCATCCAATTGATTTTCAAAAAGTTGAGAAAGTAGTATCAAGCAAGTCCATGGTCGACAGGAATATAATTGAATCTTGTTTCATAAAAAGCAGTTTTTGACAATAATATGAATATTTCCTTTGGTTTATATAAATTAGATCCATTTATAATTAATAGAATTTGGGAAGAATTTAATAATACACTGGGCAAATAATTTTTTAAATTTTCTTGGTAGAATAGTTTGTGGGATGAGTTGTGCAAAGGACCTATCCAAGTTGGGTCGGCGCGCGTCAGGTGTTTAACCGTTGTGGGATCTGATAGTGAGGTGCTGGCCTGACCCCTATATAGCTTCCTGTATGCTTTACTTTCATAGTTCCTTATAATGTGAGTAGTCCGAAAGCGCTTGGAATTTCTCTATTTTTTCAGAGTGGTTTTTTGCATATATATTAATATATATATATATATATAAAAAATATATATATATATATATATATATATATATATATATATATATATATATAATATATATATCGTGCTGAATAAGTAAAACGGGTCAATTAGTAAGAACTCATTTAAAATTCAGTCCTTTCTAAAATTTTCTTTTATACGTTTAAAATATATATTTTTCATTTATGTTTATGTAAAAATTGATTATATCTAGTAATCCACGTTTATAAAAGTCATTTTCTGCTTGCAGCTTCCGTCTGAAGTGTTCCTGGAACTCAGTAATGGTCAGCGTTGTCTTGGTCGTGTTTACATTCAGCTGTGGTGCCACATGCGACGTGCACAGCAGTTCCTGGCACTCTGCCTCGGCACTATGGGCCCTTCCTTAGTCGGTGCACACTTCAGGAGTGTTTCAGATGCCGACAAAGAACGAGAAACTATTTGGTGTACTGAGTACGCCTCGCCCGATGGAGGCACGGGATACCGGGAGTTGATGCTGGACATGGAATGGGACGGCGAGCATAGGAGAGAGCCCAGAGAGGGCTTGGTGGTCGCTTACTCCAATGACGTTAATGATTACGGCTTCGGCATTTGTACCAAAGGAAAGCCTGGGGCCAATTTCTCCAGTCCCTTCGGCGAGGTATCGTCAGGGCTGGAGGTGGTCCGGGCGGCTGTTGGTCATGAACCCGTTACTGAGGTCACGATTACGGACTGTGGCCTAGTCATTCCTGACCTTACACCCTGACACAACCCAAGTCGTGACGTAGTCACCCAGGTCAATATTACGGACTGTGGCCTGGTCATTCCTGATTTTACAATGTGACACAACCCACCAAGTTAACATAACCCACCAAGTTGACACAACCCACCACGTCGTGACCCTATCACCAAGGTCATCATCACTGTGGCCTCGTCATCGCTGATCTATTATTCAGTTAATAACTTCAAAGCGGATCTCTAATAACACTTGCAGAGGTTTGAAAATAATGTATCCCTGAGACACTTTTCAACCTTGGCTGTCAAGACTGCGCCAGACCTGGTCAAGACCACGCCAGACCTGGTTAAGACCACGCCAGACCTGGTCAAGACCATGCTAGACCTGGTTAAGACCACGCCAGACCTAGTCAAGACCACACCAGACCTGGTTAAGACCACGCCAGACCTGGTCAAGACCACGCCAGACCTGGTTAAGACCACGTCAGACCTTGTCAAAACCACGCCAGACCTAGTCAAGACCACGCCAGACCTGGTTAAGACCACGCCAGACCTTGTCAAAACCACGACAGACCTAGTCAAGACCACGCCAGACCTGGTTAAGACCACGTCAGACCCTGTCAAGACCACGCCAGACCATGTCAAGACCACGCTAAACCTAATCGCCAAGATACTCTGGAGAACTAGCAAAAAAAAAAAAAAAATCATACATGTCTTGGAAGCTTATTTTATGGACCATCCTTGAGGAAGTGTCGTAAAGTACAGACTCTTTCATCCGTTTTGTCTCATTTTTTTGGTCCGAATCTGACAGATTATTGCTCCTTTTGTGAGATAACTTTCCGTTATGTCTCCAGATTACCTGTATTGTCAAGACATATTTACACGATATTCATGAAAATTAAATTGATTTAGGTATGTATATTTTATGTATATAATATCCGAATTTTGTAAATACAGATTATAATGCTGTGAATACCAATAATTTTAATTTGAAATAGATACAGTCGAGAATTAATGTAACTTAATTTCTTGTATCGTAAATGCTATGTTATATTGTAATTAACATGCCATCTATATAAATAAAATGAAAGAACCGTATAATAAATTTTAGAACCAATAGCAAAATAAGCTTGAAGAAAGAGAAGAGTGTAGACAGTAGCTAACAGTTCAGAGGAACTTGAACCAGCGCCTGGGTGAATGCAAACACGCATGTAACAATCTGAAGAACACTTGCGAAATACACAAGCATTCACAAGGTCACTTGATGAAAAGGAAAGGTGCCAAGTTGGTCGTGAAGGAGGACAATCTGCAGAAACGTCGCAAACTTGGGGCTGCCTTGATCGAAGATTCCGAGACAGTAGCCCAAAACCTCAGGTAGTTTTAGCATGCTGATTCTACCTCACTACACACACACACACACACATTACGCGAGTAGGTGACACCTGTTGCAGCACAAGACCTGACCTTGCCATGCTCACTTGATTTTATTCACAAACATAATCCACTTTTTTCCTATTCTCTATATCCGACTGAAAAAATCTGTATTGTCATGTCTATATTGTAAGAATTAATCAGGTAACATCAGTAGACTACAAGATGGTGTCACTGCTACATTAAGGCTATTATTATATTAAAAAAAAAAAACACAACTCATTAAAGGTCAAGCATTGACTATGGGACAGGATGAAAGGTTTGATTTAAAAGAAGGCTAACTCCAATTTCTTGACGAAAGGAGTTACTACATGAGGTTAAATCAGGTAAGTCAGCAGGAAACAGGACATTAGTTTCCTGACGCTGTTCTTAGCCATATGATGACCCGCCACCGGAGCTTTCGGTCATCTGACAGAGGCTTTCCACTGACTTACTGGTCCACCCTTTAATATGTGTGTGTGTGTAATAGTTACTTAAATATTGAAACATTCATTGTTTATTTTTTCAATTCACATAAATTGTTATTAGTACACCGCGATTCTGTCTTATTTCTTCACTTTGAGTCAGTTTACTAGTTTATTTGATAACTGGTACTCTCTCCTGTCCTCACCTATACCGACGTAGACTTAGACGCCCAAACCTCAGATTCCTTCCTTATCACTTTACCGTAGGAAAAAAAAAACAAAACAGGAAATCCGCTTGTCGCATTACAAATACCGTGTTCTATTTTCCTTATAAGATAAAATAAGATTTGTTCCGATTTTTAACTCGGAGGGTTGTTAGCCACCCAGCACCCGGGTTCCTACTTACTGCTAGGTTAACAGGTGTGAGGAAACATGCCCAACGTTTCCACCCAAACCACACACACACCCATATAATATTATATATATATATAATATATAATATATATATATATATATATAATATATATAATATATATATAATAAATATATATATATATATATATATATATATATATATATATAAATATATATAATATATATATATATATATATAAAATATATATATATAATATATATATATATAATATATTATACATATTCATTCAACAAACCGGCTGTATCCCACCGAGGCAGGGTAGCCCAAAAAGGAAACGGGGTTACTAGCCCCTTGCTCCCGGGATTTAGTCGCCTCGTACGACACGCATAGCTTACGGAGGAAGAATTTTGTTCCACTTCCCCCATGGAGGATATAATATATATATATATATATATATATATATAATATATATAATATATATATATATATATATAATATATATATATAATATATATATATATAATATATAATGTGCCATATATGTTACTTTTGTTCTTTATGGTAATTTGCCCTAACAAAACCAAAGGAAAATCATGTTGCAAATCTTTAAAAAAAAGATGATGAGATTCCTCCTTGATCTGAGGTCCATGAGAACACGTAGGAAAGGAAACTGCAGGAACTGGATATGATAAAGTGGAAGATAGACTAGAGAAATAGAAACTAAACTATGTATACAAAATTGCTGACAACCAATAGACAGAATATCTTGCTTCAAATTAAAAAAGATAATTATAACACTAATGGGGGAGGTGAACATAATTTTTTGGTAGCCACAATAGTTGGCCAGGCCTCAGCACCCATTATACAGCAACAAAGGACAGGGATAGAAAAAACCATACCATGGGCGGGGTTAGAGCCCGGGATCAGTCATAAAACTCCAGACCGACGAGCTTGCCACGTCGGTCTGGAGTTTTATGACTGATCGCGGGTTTTATCCCCACCCGTGGTTTTTTTTTTTTGCAATCGTGTCATTACGATTTCGTGAGACAGGAATAGGTATATATAAAAATGGGTCGTCGGAATATTAAGAGCCTTGTCAGGACATTGTCCTTGCGAATATTACAACATGTTAGATTACGCTAGGTAAGGTTTATCAGGAAACACGACAAGTGTCTCCTGATGCGGGTCTTAGTCATATGATGACCCACAGCTGGAGCTTTTGGTCATCTGTCCGAGGCCTTCCACTGGTTTACCGGTCCACTCCTATAAAAGTTATAGTTACAATTACAGTTATTTTATATATATTAACAACAGGAATGGGTTACTTCATCACATCAAGGCCAGCCAAAGTATAAATTAATTTAAAGAATATGGTTATGGAATACTTAATGAATAACTTGTGAGGTTATAACAGCATGTACGTGTGCTTTAGTACGTATCTATGTGACTTTGTATCTGAAATATGCATGTAAATATTAATTTATATCACATGATATATTAATTTTTATATTAATAAAATATACTACTAATATAACAATAACAGCTACTGCTACTAGTATTGGTTTATTATTGTTATAAAATGCTTATTTAAAAAAACATGATTGTTATAACAGTTTACTATTATAACTATCGTTATTAGAAATAATATTGGTTTTATTGTTGTGTTACCATGTGGCAGTAAATCTGATTTTCCAGAGATGAAGTGCATCTCTCAGCCTACCATGAGTTGCTGCACACCAAAATATTCTCCACACACCATTGTTTTTATAATTATCATCTCATAAAACGTATCTCCCTTAAACAGTGACAGCATCCAGCACCTGCGTTTGAATCCCAATTGTGTAGGAGTGCTCCATATATATATTTTTGGTGAGGGGATGAACTAGATAATGTGGCATTCGGTGTGAAGGTCAGAGATAATATTTAGTTCTCTGGCAGACTCAGTGAGGACCGGAGCTGTATTTTTTTTTTTCCTGATGTGATGTTGGTACGCCCTGCCGCGCAGTAATACTCTCTAGTTCTCTTCTGAAGAGATGAAAGTGACATTGAAGGAGACCTAGAGGAGGTATCTACATTACTTTCCTCCACTGCATGGCTGAAAATTTAAGAAAATAAAGTGATTGTATTCCAGATATAACTATGGAGATGCCCTACGGAAGCATGTTGAGCCCCTGTACAATGTAAAGACTTCTGCTACACTCTACTGTTGTCTCACTCTCCAAACTGATCCCACATTAACTGTAAGTAAGAAGTGGAGAACAAGTATAATGTATATATAGACTGTTACAATTACTCCTTATTTCTCTCTGGGTTCATAAAAAACACACTCATTATTGCGAGATGTTTCCGCGCTGCCAGACGATTGATGTCACTCATTAAGCGATTGTTGTTTTTTCCCTGTGTGTGTTTGTGAAGTTATTTTCAAATGGCATAGTTGTATTAATAAATCATATTCGTCACCCTAAGTACAGTATTAATTCACCAGGTCACGGTAAGTTCATCATTATAAATTTCTGAGGACATTAACCTGCGGTATGACTTTGGTCTTACCATGTAGAGATAATGTTCCGTTTATCTAGTAAGATAAGATAAGATTTCGTTCGGATTTTTAACCCCGGAGGGTTAGCCACCCAGGATAACCCAAGAAAGTCAGTGCGTCATCGAGGACTGTCTAACTTATTTCCATTGGGGTCCTTAATCTTGTCCCCCAGGATGCGACCCACACCAGTCGACTAACACCCAGGTACCTATTTGCTGCTAGGTGAACAGGACAATAGGTGTAAGGAAACGTGTCGAAATGTTTCCACCCGCCGGGAATCGAACCCGGGCCCTCCGTGTGTGAAGCGGGAGCTTTAGCCACCAGGCCACCGGGCCTACATATGCTACACAATAGTAACGTGTAAATTACGTAGGATAACCCCCCAAAAATTTAAAGTGGCTTATTTCCATTGCATATTCTTGAAAGAAGGAGGAAGAGAAGGTGAAAAACAAAATATTATTATTATTATTATTATCCAGAAGGCAACAAAGCCAGAATAACCCAAGAAAGCCAAGCTGTGTGACTGAATCAGAACTCATAATTACTGGTAGGAAGAAATGTTTTGTATTTAAAGCTTAAGTTAAGGTATATCAATTTACTGTAGGATTTTCCAGACAATATCAAAAAGGCACAACACTCTGACTAGAACAATACTGGCCTAGTCAGTGGTTCAAATCGGATTAAATAAAACTAATGACGATGAATTTAAAAATCAACGCGTTTAATACATGTAGCAGCAGTCCAGTAGATATGAATACTTTGTGAATCTCTCTTTACAAAATTATATACACCGAGATGTGTATATCTGTGTATATACTGTGAGAGTATTCTTGCTCGTGTACACAACAGACTTAATCTTAACAAACCAAACGAGTAGGCTTTATATCTAACAATACACTAATGAATTTTCTCTTTCGTATTTTGTGGGTTACTTTATCATTTGACTTTACAATTTGAAAAATTATTGTTACAATCACTCCTGCTAATGCAGATAAGTAAAACATACATGCTTAATTGTTTCAGCTCCACGGCAACAGTTAACATACTTGTATTAAATGAGTTTAATCCTTCTTGAGGCACTGTCAGAATATTCTAGGTCAAGTCATCATCAGATGTCACGTCTGTATATCTATAATGACTATATACAATACTGGAAATTAACTACTCGAATAGCAGTTCTTAGGAGAGCCCAGTGACTAGATAGCTGTTTGCATAGCCTTTAAGGAACAATACACAAATAACCCTCACATAGGAGAGAGAGAAACTACGACACTAACACACAAGATGGTAAGCATAATGTTTGTCAGGAAACAGGACAAGTGTTTCCTGACGCGAGTCCTAGTCATATGATGATCCGCAGCTAGAACTTTTGATCATCTGACCGAGGCCTTTCGCAGGCTTACCAGCCCACCCCTTTAAAAATTATGGTTATAATTATAAACATTTTGGTTTTCTAACACACAAGTGAGGGAGCCAATATATATAAGCGAGGGAGACAGGGACGGAACAAATTAAGGAAGAAAGAGAAGTAGTGGTGGTGGAAAGGCTGGTAGAGGAAGTAGTAGAAGTAATAGTGGTAGTAGAAAGTAGGGAGAGTAGTTTAGTGACACAAGAGAGAAAGGGGAGTGAAGGGAGGCAATAGTAACAACAGTAGTAGAAATGGAGAAGTAGTCATAGAATTGGGGTCAATCTGAGGACATGGAAAAGGAGCACTGCAGGAGAGCTAAAGGCCCACAAGGGGCAGGACCAGAAACAGGGGAAGGGAGGAACTGGAGGATAGAACACTTAAGTAGAAGAAAGGTAAACAAAGAAAAGAAAAAGATAGGAAAGAAGAGGTAGGGAAAGGAGAAGAAAGGATCAGGTCAAGTAACGAGTGTTCTGAAGTTTGTTGCATTTAGCAGTGTTAACAGTGTAATGAGACAGGAAAGGAAGGCATCAACGGAGACAAAGCGAGGACTAAGATTCATACCAGGAAAGTTGTGTAAGGGATGCTTCAGCAAGACGGCGAGTGAAGTCGCCTTTTGTTCTTTAAGGAAATTTTTTTACCGATCAAGCTGTTTATGCTATCATCACGTTTCTGTCCTATTTTATCACAAAAAAAAAAATAACTGAGAGCTGAAAACAAAGATTTGCTGAACAAGTTTGTTAAATTTGGTGTCTGCATTGTTGTAATACTAGTCAGTAGAATCTATCATCCCAAGGAGACTCCTTTTATTATTATTATTACTATTATTATTATGGTTATTATCGGAATTGGTTACATCACATTGTGTGACTACCCTGATGTACCAATATATTTTTTATCTAACACACCTATCACGCAAGATGGTTTTCCTGTCATGTTTTATCATGCAGGATGTTTTTTCTCTTATTTCATGACATAAACCACGGTACAAAATGGGTTAGAATCCATGGCAATCGTGTTATTACGATTTCGTGAGTCTTCATACTTAAGACAGTTTGCCTGCCATACTCCATCACGCATGATACTTCTGTAATACATACTCCATTACCTAAGATGAGTTTTCTGCCATGCTCCGTCATGCAGGATGATTTTCCTGCCATGCTCCGTCACACATAATTTTTTTTTTTTTGCTTCATGCTTTTTCACACGAGATGGTTTTCCTGTCACATTCCATTATGTATAGGATGGCTTTCTTCTCATGCTCCAACATGCAGCATGGTTTTATTGCTATATTTTGACGGTAAGCTTTTCGTACAGTTTGCAGATTGACTGATAATAAAATTTACTGCTAATATCTTGTGCTCCAAGAAGAATATAAGTCCAACACCGTGGCTGAAGCAAGTGACATCTTGCCCACAATTTGGAGAGAATGTGTCGAACGACGTTTTATTTCGCCGTGGACCATTATCAGGTAGACTTAAAAATACTTCATGACGGACCGAAATGCCATCTATATAAAAAAAAAAGGCACAATACCGTGACTGGAACGATACATAAATAACATAAATAAATGGTCGAAGTCGGACCGAAACGTCGTCGTAAGCTCCTCTCTTCGATGTGCGGGTTATTTGTGTATGCCATAAAAAAAAATACCACGGGCGGGGTTAGAACCCGCGATCAGAGTCTCAAAACTCCAGACCGTCGCGTTAGCCACTGGACCAGCTAGCCACAATAAAATTCGTCCAACTAGGTACATTTCTAAGCCATAGGAAGGTTAGCATAGGCACCACTGTGACCACAAAGGCAAGTTTTTACAGACGAATCTCCAGCTAGCGTGGCCGTGACGAACTCTAGCTCAAGTCCCTTCAAAGCCGTTAACATGACTCACGAAATCGTAATGACACGTTTGCAAACAAACCATACCACGGGCGGGGATAGAACCCGCGATCAGAGAGTCTCAAAACTCCAGACCGTCGTGTTAGCCACTGGGCCAGCTAGCCACAATAAGTCATGTTAACGGCTTTGAGGGGACTTGAGCTAGAGCTCGTCACGGCCACGCTAGCTAGAGATTCGTCTGTAAAAACTTGCATTTGTGGTCACAGTGGTGTCTATGCTAGCCTTCCTATGGTGTAGAAATATACCTAGTTGGACGAATCTTATTGTGGCTAGCTGGTCCAGTGTTTAACGCGACGGTCTGGAGTTTTGACTATGATCGCGGGTTCCATCCCCGCCCGTGGTATGGTTTGTTTGCAATCGTGTCATTACGATTTCGTGAGTCGAGTTGTGTATGGCATCTAAAGTTTCTTATCCAAACTGCAGGTTAGTGGTGAGCCTCACCCATTCTTTCATACACTTATAATACTACAGAAAAAGAAGAAAGCCTCCTACCTTTTGGCTTGTATTGAATGTGGTTCGTCGGTGTTGAGCTTAGCGATAGTTTATGTAATTTTTTTTTATATTTTATTTAAAACAGTGCGATACAAATAGCAGAAATATATTAAAAAGATACACGACAAAAGCTTACTGCACTAGAATTTCACTTAACCCGAAACCTAATATTGATACCATACTGCACAGTGGTAATACACACACACACACACAACACACTGTATATTACATGGTAATACACTCTCACACACAACACACCTTATATTACAGTGAATATACACACTCACACTCAACACTATACATTACAGTGATATTGTTTTATTTGTTAAAGAACATCTCTAACAAGGTTACTTATACAAAACAACAAACACTGGAAATTAAAGATTGTACAATAAAACAAGAGATAAAAAAAAAAAAAAAAAAAAAAAAAAAAAAAAAAAAAAAAAAAACTAAACACGCACAATGACACACATACACAAGCACACATAGGTGAGGTTTCTGCCTGTCAACACACACGTATGCGAGACTAAATCTAAGATCTCAGGTGCTTAACAGAGCACCACGATACTCAAACATTAATTTAGGCGATTATCACAAGATCTGAACATACATAGGTATTTAGGATACAAAGAAGGAAACGGTATAATACTAAAAGTCACAATAAAAACATCCAATATAACAAAACAAAACTACGATGTGAAATTTTACATCTCAGCGGAACTAAGAAAAAAATGATGCAAGTAGTTACATGTAATATAATATTACTGAAAAGCAGACTGTAACACAACATAAAATATAACATAAAATAAGACCCAGTAGCTTATGCTAGGAAAAACAATTTTTTTTTTTTTTTTTTTTTTTTTTTTAAACAATTACAATTGAATCAAAATCATTAAAGACACCTATAACATATTTGAGTCATTGAAATTTTCATCATAAAGTCCTTGAAATGATTTATGCATGATAAATGATAATATGCAATCGTAGTGCAACACATTTCTAAATGATAACTTTTTAGTTTCTGAAACCCTCGGGGCAATAACCATATTGCCCATAGATATCAAAACTCAATTATACATCCTTATAAACAGCTCTCCATGCTCACACCCATGTCTAGGAAAATAGCCCGTTGTGTCCCCTTACCCACTTTGCAAATCCCATAAATCCCTTAATGTGAAATTTCGATAACCCTCACTAAAATCTCTCTCCCATCTCCCTCCATACACCCCTTTATTCCTACACTGTGTCCTATAAAAAGTTGCTGCCAACGCATTAATTCTTGCACGCACGTCCGCCTCCCTCATAGCCCACATCATGTATATATAATCCGTAATCATATACCCAATCGCATTCTCAACCCTTTTATTCACCCCAGTTATATCTAAACTTAAAACCCTCAAGACCTGCAAACCCCCTCCCCCCACTAACCTTAAAACCTTACCCATCCAAACCCTTATAAGTTCAATACAATCGCAAAAATACACCGTATGATAAATAGTCGCCAATCCTCCACAATCCTTGCATTCCCCATCCTCTCGTATTCTCTTATAGAATAAAAACCATTCCTGACGGCAATATTCCATGTAAAAATCTATACATAACTTCTCTGACTTTAGGTTTTAAACGCAATTTGTTTAAACGCCCCCAAATATTACGCCAATCATACATCGGATAAACTCCTTCTACCGCCGCTACCAAAGCCTTACCATCTGCCCTATCAAGATTTCTCAATTTAATATGTAAAGGATCCCTCACGTTTATAAATACCCGTAACATTGCCTCACCTATCATGAACTCCCTACCCCCCCACCACCGTCGCATATCCTGATGTATCCTATTAGTTAGTTAAAGATTAGCCGGTATTCTCCCAGCCCGGGCCTTGTCCAAGTGGTGGCCCGGCCTTGGCTCCCTCTTTAGGGAGTGTCTGAGACCTAAGTCTCCCATGGGAGGAGGCACAGGTACCTCCTCATCTTTGGGACCAACTGTCCCCAGGCCTAGCCACAAGCTAGGCCTCTCTGGTCTGCCATCCCCGCCCCAAGGGAGCAAATGGGAATGACAGTCTTATGAGCTAAAGGCTCGGGCTCAGGCACCTACCCTACCCTAGAAGGGCTGGGCATGGTGTCGATCATGTATCCTATGAAGACCGTCTCCTTTCAATAAAAAAAAAAAAAAAAAAAAAAAAAAAAAAAAAGTTTATGTAATTTCTCCAATATTAATCGGACCGTGTAACAGAAAGTTATATTTTGGGCTATGGGGAAAAAAATGATTTTTGGTAATCAAGGCTAACATAACGTAACAAACTCAACGAAACCTAATCTAAATTAGGAGTAATTCTAAATTAAATTGCATTATATTAGGTTAGGTTACCTTAAAATGTTTTATTAATATCTGCACAAAATGTAATCATCCGCATTGCACAAACCATTGATAAAAACTAGAAAATGAGAAACTGAACCTTCAAAATTATTTCTACTTATATGGTACATTACGCATAGGCGGACAGGTAAGCCAGTGGAAGCCCTCGGTCAGATAACCAAAAGCTCCAGTGGCGGGCCATCTTATGATTTAAGATCCACGTCAGGAAATACTTACCTAATGTGAGGGGGAAAAGTTCGTTAGATAAGAGTGGACACATGAATGACAAGTAGTGGTATAAATGAGTGAATGACTGTTGAATAAGGGTCAGGCATAGTTACCTCTCTACCTCCCCCCTTTGTACTCCACCCGGTGGTAGTTGACAAGGGACCCTCCTAGCGAGTTTTCAACCACTTGACTTCCTACTCCCGCCAAATTTTAAGTATGGGATTTAACTCCTGTTTCTTTTTATGTTGTAGGTATTGGGTTTATATGTTAATATAACCGAACCTGATTTGACTTTATGTTTAGCAACGTAATGTTTGCAAGTTCTCGCCGTTTGTTTTAAAGGCCTTCTGCCTATCATGTGAGTGACTGCTTGTCCGGGATTTTAGCTGTTACGTTTTTGTGATTCGGCTTGGGTCGTCCGACGCATGCGAGACAAGGCGGGCAACTGGTTCTAAGCTCTACATAACCGAGTACTTTAACGATAACAGTTTCAAATTACCCTGCTGTCTTCAAAGGGTGAAACACCATATACAGCTTAGTGCATGTGTCTCTACTGTTGTTCGTTGAAATGTGGACTTTTACGTCTTGTCTAACTACGACAACCTAGTCTTTCACGTGCTTCATTGTCAGCCCCGTGAATCTTACTAACTACCTGCAATATTCCACCTGCATACGGGAACATCATCTTTCCTCGTCCTGTATATATATTTGTTTATAGGAACATAAGCTTAGTTTCTGAAGCTTAAAAGTGGGTTTACAACGCTCGTAAGAAGGTGCTGCCTTCGTGCTATAGAAAGGGTTCGATATTAAGTTCAGTGGTATACCCTCCATGAAAGATATTAAAGACTGCGATGGTGTAAATATTCTAGCCAAACACAGCAGAAAAAGATTTTTGGTTTAACTATGAAACAACATAAACATCTTGTACAGATAACACTTGTGATAAAATCCTGTCTCTAACAACGAATATTATGTGTATACATGTATATATATATTATATATGCTATATATATACATACATTGGTTGGGTAGTCGGTTAATTGTATTAATTATAAGTTTTCGACTACGCGAGGGTCATTTAAGGTTTCATATAAGTTTCATTATCAGTCAGGAATCCTTTAATTAAAAAAAAGTGATAATTACTCTCGTGCAATACCAGTGTATATACCCTATCTCGTTGCATTTTGACATGAACAAAAAATTCTGGCTGGTCTGAGGCTTGTGTAAAATTCTCTCTGGATACTGACAACAACGACCCTCTTCATACATAATGTAAACTCTCAGACCTGATTGGCATGCACTGTCATATGTATTAATTAGTAAATGAACTTACGAATCTCCACTCATCGCCCTGACGCAACAACTTGAATTTCTTCTCTGCTCTGAACTGGCAATTGATTAATCACAGACGTAACCAACGTTTCATTATATACAGAATATTATAATAGGCCCAGGTAGATTTTTATTACATAAATTCTCCAGTATTAACTGCGTTGTGCACCGATATTTAAATTTAGTGCCTACGGGAAAGTAGCGTTTTTTTTAGGTATATATAACGTGGCCTAATATTCCTCAGCCTAACCTACATAGATTCGGTGCTGAAGGACCGATTACACGTCAAACTCTGTCTAGGTTAGGTTTCATGTGTTAGACTGGGTTACATTATTAAATTTACACATCAAAATAGTTTCTCTATACGAAATATAACTGCTTCCGTTGCAAAACCTAATAAAAAAAAAATTAAATGATAATCTTAATTTGTCTAAATACACAATTCCCACAAAAAATATTTTTTTATTAACTTTCCCGGGTCATCTATATGATTAAGACCCGTGTCCGGAGACTTCTCTTGTCTTCTGACAATATAAATTATGGATAACCTGAAGAAAAGCTGATTTCCGTCCCTGGAAAGAGCTAAATTTATGTGCAATACTGCCACTCGGTACACACATGTACACATTTATATTCAGTAAACCTAACTTTTGAATTATTTGTCCTCAGAGTGGTTAGGTGTGCAGGATGGAGGACGCGATCACATGTGTTGTGTGCTCGGAGGTGTACCAGGCGGGGCCACGAGAGCCTCTAGTGCTCCCCTGTGGTCACACCTTCTGCCGTACCTGCCTACTTAACCTACAAACCTCTGGAGACTTCCTCTGCCCCTCATGTAGGCGAGACCTCAACCATCTACAAGTGGACTCTCTACCACTCTGCTTCTCCCTTCTCGGTCTCTCGTCCATGTACACGGGAATTAAGGTAAATGGCGGTGCACCCAATGACTTGCTTGCCGGGGTTGAGTCCTGGTACCTGGCCTCGCCCATGGTACACAGATAGCGACTATGGAATGAGAGGAAAAGATTCGATTAAAGGAAGGTAAGAATAGTTTCAATTCTTGAATCTAGAGCCCCTCAGTGGCAACAAAGAGCTGGCTGGCATTACTGGTTTTCAGTGTCTTAAAACCTTTCATATCTACTCTTGAAACCATGTAGAAATGCTGAAACCATATAAAAATGTTTAAGCATTTCATGTTGATGAATATTAGGGACAACTTGCATACACGAAATGATTTTTAGAACTTGTTTGGCGACATTATTTTGCACATCAAAAGCTAAAGCTAAAGGAATCTTATAGGAGTCAGGAATCGCGGGAGGAACTAAAAGCCATAAATGAAATCGAAAGAAACCCAAAGTATTTCTTCTCCTATGCCAAATCAAAGTCGAGAACAACGTCCAGTATTGGGCCCCTACTTAAACAAGATGGGTCCTACACAGATGACAGCAAGGAAATGAGTGAACTACTCAAGTCCCAATATGACTCAGTTTTTAGCAAGCCGCTAACCAGACTGAGAGTCGAAGATCAAAATGAATTTTTTATGAGAGCCACAGAATTTGGTTAACACAAGCCTATCCGATGTTATCCTGACGCCAAATGACTTCGAACATGCGATAAATGACATGCCCATGCACTCTGCCCCAGGGCCAGACTCATGGAACTCCGTGTTCATCAAGAACTGCAAGAAGCCCCTATCACGAGCCTTTTCCATCCTATGGAGAGGGAGCATGGACACGGGGGTCGTCCCACAGTTACTAAAAACAACAGACATAGCTCCACTCCACAAAGGGGGCAGTAAAGCAACAGCAAAGAACTACAGACCGATAGCACTAACATCCCATATCATAAAAATCTTTGAAAGGGTCCTAAGAAGCAAGATCACCACCCATCTAGAAACCCATCAGTTACACAACCCAGGGCAACATGGGTTTCGAACAGGTCGCTCCTGTCTGTCTCAACTATTGGATCACTATGACAAGGTCCTAGATGCACTAGAAGACAAAGAATGCAGATGTAATATATACAGACTTTGCAAAAGCCTTCGACAAGTGTGACCATGGCGTAATAGCGCACAAAATGCGTGCTAAAGGAATAACAGGAAAAGTCGGTCGATGGATCTATAATTTCCTCACTAACAGAACACAGAGAGTAGTCGTCAACAGAGTAAAGTCCGAGGCAGCTACGGTGAAAAGCTCTGTTCCACAAGGCACAGTACTCGCTCCCATCTTGTTCCTCATCCTCATATCCGACATAGACAAGGATGTCAGCCACAGCACCGTGTCTTCCTTTGCAGATGACACCCGAATCTGCATGACAGTGTCCTCCATTGCAGACACTGCAAGGCTCCAGGCGGACATCAACCAAATCTTTCAGTGGGCTGCAGAAAACAATAAGTTCAACGATGAGAAATTTCAATTACTCAGATATGGTAAACACGAGGAAATTAAATCATCAGAGTACAAAACAAATTCTGGCCACAAAATAGAGCGAAACACCAACGTCAAAGACCTGGGAGTGATTATGTCGGAGGATCTCACCTTCAAGGACCATAACATTGTATCAATCGCATCTGCTAGAAAAATGACAGGATGGATAATGAGAACCTTCAAAACTAGGGAGGCCAAGCCCATGATGACACTTCAGGTCACTTGTTCTATCTAGGCTGGAATATTGCTGCACACTAACAGCACCTTTCAAGGCAGGTGAAATTGCTTACCTAGAAAATGTACAGAGAACCTTCACGGCGCGCATAACGGAGATAAAACACCTCAATTACTGGGAGCGCTTGAGGTTCCTAAACCTGTATTCCTTGGAACGCAGGCGGGAGAGATACAGGATTATATACACCTGGAAAATCCTAGAGGGACTAGTACCGAACTTGCACACGAAAATCACTCACTACGAAAGCAAAAGACTTGGCAGACGATGCAACATCCCCCCAATGAAAAGCAGGGGTGTCACTAGCACGTTAAGAGACCATACAATAAGTGTCAGGGGCCCGATACTGTTCAACTGCCTCCCAGCATACATAAGGGGGATTACCAACAGACCCCTGGCAGTCTTCAAGCTGGCACTGGACAAGCACCTAAAGTCGGTTCCTGACCAGCCGGGCTGTGGCTCGTACGTTGGTTTGCGTGCAGCCAGCAGTAACAGCCTGGTTGATCAGGCTCTGATCCACCAGGAGGCCTGGTCACAAACCGGGCCGCGGGGGCGTTGACCCCCGGAACTCTCTCCAGGTAAACTCCAGGTATAGAATACCAGGTTGTCGGGCTCTGGGAGTAGAAAAATTCTCGTAACTCATCAAAGATATATTAGAGGGAACTATTTTATGCTTAGATGGTGTCAGAATGTGTTTAGGTCAAACTTTTAAAGAAATTATAGATAATATGTAATCTGTATAATTACCTAATTGCTAGTAGTACTGTAAACATTAAAAATTCACGGTATTTGTGGCAGAGCTTTAGGGATTTAACGTAAATTTTGCAGAAATGGAAAAAAAAGCAACATCTGAGAATACAGCATGTCTAAATTGAGACATATTCACCATGAGGTGTCTGTGTATTACATGCTAAGGGAGTTTACCTTAATTCCTAATTAAGGATTAAAATATTCTTTATGGTGAAAAGGTGATATGTACCAATAATGATCCGTTTTTGTGTTCTGGACTCTTGTCACTTCATGAGTAATAATGTTGGTGATTTTTAAGTCAAGGACCGACCCAAATATCATCTAGATTCCACTTGTGATTTGCAGTCTTGTATCAGTTGCTCCAGCCATAGTATTAACATACGTTCTTCATATGTAAAATTTACTTTATTCGTCAGGTTCGTTGATTTACCTTTTTTTTCACAAATAACTTGCACATAGGAAGACACTTAGGACGTTTCTGTCAAGACTTGAAGCATCAACTAGTCACGCACTCTTAATGAGTTATTAATGGTTCAAGTCGGACTGAAACGTAGTATGTGTATAGGTTTCTAAATGTGTGGGTTAATTGTGTATTGTTCCTATCACGGTATTGTGCCATTTTTATTCTTTAAGGGCTTTTTATCCTTAGACTTACAATTACTCTTCGGATCAAACCTAACCACGTGCCATTTCCAAGCTGCTTTATGATCCCTACGGGTCTTTTGCTTCCCAGTTAATTTAAATAATTTAACCAAATATACTGAAGTTTCCTCGTTTTCTACAGCACGAATTGTGTAGGGATCACGGGGGAGAACTGACCTATTGGTGCCGGGGCTGCGCTCTACCTCTCTGCGGCCTGTGTCTCTACTCTGGTCACCCCCGAGGCCACGACGTCCAGCTAGCCAAAGTTTGCCTCCAGGAGAAGAAACGAGCTCTTCAGGGCCAGATTCAGGCCTACCATCAAAATCTAAACGAAAATAAAAAAGATATTATGAAAAAGGTGAGCAGCTGCTTCGTGAAAATCAAGAGACTGTGTCACAGAGGTAATCGGCTTCACGAGGTTGGAAGGGAAGTGGAAGATCTCTCACGTGAAGTTCAAAATGTGGACACTATAGAGAATATTTTAGTAGCGGAAGTCAAGGTTAGAAGCCTTCAGGACAAGCAGTTGTATCTACTGTCTAGTGGATGCAGTGAAACTGAGATAGATGATATCACAGACGATGAATGGTGGCCCCCAGAAGACATGGCAGCGCAGAAGACACTAGAGGCGGCAGCCATGGCCCAACAGCAGACGCAGTCAAACAGCAATGTGTCTGGTGACAAGCGGCAAACAAGACTAGACTGCCAGGACGGCAAACTGGTGCTTCACGCCTTCAGTAAATCTATTGACACTCGCCTCTCCCTGCAGGTAATTTTTACCCACTACAAGATCACCTGGCCGAGTATATACACAGAGGTGCATATTAAAGTGCGCGCGCGCGCGCGCACACACACACACACACACACACACACACACACACACACACACACACACACACACACACACACACACACACACACACAGGAGGCAGGATCCATACATAGCTTTAAGAGGTATGATAAAGCTCATGGAGCTGGGAGTGACAATAACGACCAGCGAAGAGGTGGGACCGGGAGCTATGACTAGACTCCTGCAGCCACAGTCAGGCGAGTACACACCGAGAGGTGTATCTCTGTACACTATATACACCGAGGGGTGTAGATACTCGTGTGGGTATCTGCATAATTAAACGACAATGCAATGAAGATTACAAGGACACATAAATACATGCAACCACTACACATCCACGTAAGTGGAATACACTGCTCCATGTAAACACTACATATACATAAATAGCATACATAGCTCCATACAGCCACTACACCCACATGTATGGCACACACAACCTCGTACAACCAATACACACACACAAGTGGAATAGACGTCTCCATATAAACTATATATATGGTTGACATTAATGAATACAACCTCGACACTATATTCAAAACATATTCCTATGCTCAAAATATATTTCTTTATATAGTTTTAACACTGTATTACCCTATTGATCCTAGCACAGTATAATACATAGAAAGCTATTAACCAAGGCACAATATAACTTACACAGGAGCTAACATTCACTTGCAAGAATACGCCTTGAAAATGTTAGTATACAGGCTTAATTAAATTCTTAAAAGCATTGTTTTAAAACTATTGACACGACGATGCTGAGTTCAGTGACCGAACTACTTTTTATTTGACATTCTTTTCCCCTTCAAAGGGCTCCTGAGCAAATGTATTGGAGTTGCCCTCTTTCTCCCCGGATCAAGCCCGATTACTTCCTATTCGCCAGGGAGTGTGTGACACTCAAGTTTATTTAAGGTTGCCTTTGGAAATGAGAAGATAGTGCAGATCAGTTAATAAATGGTGTTTTTATTTAGTTGAGGAATGTTTGCTTACACGGGAACAACGTGAATATGTTATCAATTTTTAAAGGGGTGGATGGATAAGCCAGCGGAAGGCCTGTCAGATGCCCAGAAGTTCCAGTGGCGCATCACATGACGCGGGAAACACTTGCTGCGTTTCCTGACGAATCTTGCCTAACCTTCACACAAGATGTATACATCCTGTGTATATATCCTGAGTTTTACCCTGAAATAGGGATTAGTGTTCTTGCTTCGTGGTGGAAGTTACTTTTAGGATTAATTACCTTTAATGTAATCGATAGGCCTTCAACCCTCATTTACCATTATCCAACAGGTGCCGTCGGAGGTGTTCCTTGAGCTGAACGTTGGTGGTCGTTGTTTGGGTCGTGTTTACATCCGGCTGATGTCTCACCTGCGTCGGGCACAGCAGTTCCTGTTACTCTGCCTCGGCTCTCTGGGACCCTCCTACATTGGTGCCACCTTCTTCATCACCGCCCATAACCAGGAGAGGGAGACCCTCGACGTTCGCAGATACGTTCTTCCCGACGGGAGCACCAGCAACAAGATATTAATGTCAGACCTGGAGTGGGGCGGAAGGTTTGCAGGGCCGGCGAAGGAGAGAGTGGTCATGGGGTCGTTTTATGGTAATGATACGCATGGTTTCGGCATCTGTACTCGAGGTCAGCCTGGCGGAGTCTTTCAGTGTCCCTTCGGCGAGGTGATGTCTGGGATGGAGGTAGTTAAAGCAGCTGTCCGTCACGACCCAATCAGCGAGGTCGTTATTACAGACTGTGGCATGGTTGTGCCTGACCTGGCATCCTAACGACCTCTTTATATGGGTCAGCTGTGCCAGGGATTTACTGGGTAGTGACCTCGCTTAATCAAACATGCAGTCACAGTGGTAGAGATTCACCGCTGGCTTTATCACTGCATACATTAGTAATCATCATCCGTCCTCTCTCTCTCACCCTACACCCCTAGTGTTCTCTTTCATCTCCTCTACCCACTCTTCTTTTTTTTTTTCCCCATCACCTACCCTTTCTCTCTTCTACCTTTCCTGTTTTATTCTCCCCTGGGTTTCCTCCCTCTTCCTTTCTGCTTCTGTCTAATGCTCCCATGTCTCTTGACACTCTCCTACCTACTATTCCTTCCTCCTTTTTTCTTCTATTTATTCTTCCTTCATCACTTCGTCAATCGTGCTTTTCCTCTCTCGTTTCCTATCCCTCGCATCATTCGTACCTTATTCAGTCTTTTTCCTAATTTTCTTCTCGCCTTCCACCCTCTTCTCTCCCTCCCATTTTTCTCACTGCCATTAAAACATTCTTGATTTCAAGGTATAACATGATAAATATATGTTCTGTCAGTTTTCTATGTTACATTTACTTAAACTTAAGGTTCTTATTGTATTTTTATCATGCATATAAAAGTGCATACATAAAGGTGTATAAGAGTAATTCTTGCATTACTGATGAATAGGACAGTTGTAACACTTTGGTGTCGTTCTTGCTGGAAGATAAGTGTTATAAATGTGGTGTTCATCAAGTCTGTGTACCTATACCTCAGTGGTGTACACGAGTCATGTGCACCACGAGGCTGTGTGCAGATCCTACAAGGATGTACACGAGGTATTATATATACCATTTGACTTTACAAGGAAAGCGATATACACAAACAGGTAGTGTACAACTTTCCTTGTACATAAACTCAATAAATTTTAGACTTGACACATTATTCCTGTTACTAAACTAACCGCACATGTGCGTGAAGGAAGCAGCAAATTTTTCTTTCAAACTCTAGCTCAGGGGCCCCCAAACTCTTCGGCTCATCGATCCCTTCATGAAGTTTCGGATTATTCATCGATTCCCAAGCATTTATTATATGAAAATAATTTAGTAAATAGTACCTTAAATAATAGTAGTACGAATAATAATAGATAATAAAAATGACCTCGTAAAAATTGGTAATATTTAAATTATGAAAAATATCAGGTTTAATATGGCCTGTTCTTTTATACTGAAACTATTATTAATAGGAAGGCTGCAAATGAGGGTCAACAAGGGGAGCCCCGTGAGAGCGGGTGATGGGGCTAGGTCTGGGGATAGCTAGTCCCAGAAGGTTCTTTCTCACTCCCTTGCTCGAAAGCTCAACTACCTACGGTGGCTTCCCGCTCACTTTTTCTTGATCACTTCCACTCTCATTCTCATGCCACCGCTGTGTACACAGATGGCTCTAAGTCTTCAGACGGCGTCGGATTCGCAGCAGTGTTTCCGGACAGCGTCGTGCGGGGGCATTTACTATCTTCGGCTAGCATTTTTACTGCTGAACTGTATGCCATTCTTGCAGCACTTATTCGTATCGCATCTATGCCTGTGTCATCATTTGTAGTAGTCTCAGACTCCCTTAGTGCTCTACAGGCTATACGAAAATTTGATACATCTCATCCCCTAGTTCTCCGTATCCAACTTTGGCTACGCCGTATCTCTACCAAACATAAAGATATTGTTTTTTGTTGGGTCCCTGGTCATGTCGACGTACAGGGCAATGAACAGGCAGACACTGCTGCGCGGTCAGCAGTACATGACCTACCAATTTCCTATCGAGGTGTTCCATTTCTGGACTATTTTGCTGCAATAGCTACCCACCTTCGCACCCGTTGGCAACAACGTTGGTCAACTCTGCTCGGTAACAAACTTCATTCTATTAAACCGAGCATAGGTTACTGGCCGTCTTCTTGTCATCAGTGCTGTGGTTGGGAGACCACTCTCTCCCGCCTTCGCATTGGCCACACTCGTCTTACTCATGGGTATCTCATGGAGAGGCACCCTGTACCTCTCTGTGAGCAGTGTCAAGTTCCAGTATCGATTAGCCACATTCTGTTAGACTGCCCTCTCTATCAACGAGCACGCAGAATTTACCTCCAACGTCGTCTTCGTTCTACTACTACTCTCTCTTTACCTTCCCTTCTTGCTGATGGACCCTCCTTTAATCCTGACTCTCTCATTGACTTCTTGACAACGACTGATTTACTCCACAAACTCTGATGATACTTATCGCACTCCCCTCAGCCCTTTCTAGTTCAGTCTCTTGCTGCCCTTTACCCTTTCACCATCCACTGCCCCGCTGTTATCCGTAACCTATTACTCATCCATCTCCCTTTTGCCACCTGATGCCCTCGCTTCCTTCCTGCCCTGCAGCGCTGTATAGTCCTTGTGGCTTAGCGCTTCTTTTTTATTATAATAATAATAATAATAGTCCCAGAAGGCGAGGAGGTCCTTGTACCTCCTCCCATGGCAGATATTGGTCTGAGACACTCCCAAGACGGAGCCAAAGCCGGGTCACCACTTGGAAAAGGCCCAGGCCGGGCGGTTGTACCGGCGAACCTACTTCAGTACAGTCAATAAGGGCACTGATATTTGATCGGAGGTTTAGTCGTGGAAGGTCAGATACACAACACTAAGCACGTCCCTAGACATATACTGACTCCCTCTTCTGATCCCCCAGCTATTTATCTACCCCGTCGAAAGTCGCAACGACCCTTAGGGGGAGATATTGACCACTTTAGAGAACCATGGTTGATAGGGTAACATGCCGATATTTCCTACCATTCTCCGAAATCGAGTCACCTTTATTCTTGAAGATTGTTGGGATGGGGGGGGGGAGGTACCTTCATGCCAATAAAGGGCTCTTGATCAAAGGGTGGTTTAGCGCATCTTTTTGATTATAATAATAATCTTGATCAAAGGAATTGAATTTTATTATAATCATAGCGCTAAACTAAGTAGGGTCCCAAGGAACTGAAACTGTCATCCTTCTTGAACCTAGTTATCTCCCATTCCCCAGAAACATTTACAGAAATGCTCAGTTGAGACTGAAGTATCCAGTGTTCCCGAAGAAAGATGCAAATGTTCTTACTGAAGTGTCCACTGTTCTCGGAGAATCCTAATTGTCTTGACAAAGACGTTACCAAAATTCTCCTAAATGTTCCTCCCTGAATGGATAACCAAATGAAAGGATAGTCTAAATATATAACATTCGCCGATATGCCATCTTGAGGTTGAGAGTTAATAAACATTTCAGCAAAATATTGACAGGATGCTTCAGAATCTGGAACAATGATACATTGTCCTCTTCTCTTCCAGCAAGGAAACAAAAGGGTAAACAAATGAGTCTTGTACCAAGGATAAGGGGGGGGGGATAAAAACATTGAAAGAAATCTTCGTTTTATTCAAACATGAAAGCTCCCTCTCTTGGATCATACCTGATTATCTTCCATTTCACAAGTGCGGCAAGACGACTACGGGATTATCTGTTTCTAATAATAATAATTAGTGACTGGATGTCACTAGTTATTATTATAAATAGTGACTGGATGTCACTAGTTAAATTGAGTCATTACAGTATCAAAATCATTAGTGAACTAATAGCTAGTGTTAGTTCATCAATATAATTGTCATTCCTAGTTTGCTAATCACTGAGGATAGTTGATCACTGTAGCTAGTCATAACTAGAACTTATGATGGTTTATCAATTATGGCTAGCACTGTCTGTGTCCAATGGCCCGTCTCCAGAAAGTGTTTAGGTAAAGTGTTTCCTTACGCGGGACTTAGTCGTATGATAACCCGCAGCTGGAGCTTTTCGTCCTCTGACCGAGGCCTTCCGCTGGCTTACCGGTCCACCCATTTAAAAATTATGGTCAGGATTATAACCATTGTCATAACTAATTTCCAGAAAGTGTTAGTTTCCTGTCGGCTGCAGGTCGTCACTGGAAGAGGCTGAGTGCAAGTCTCCGCGTTGAAGAGACTCCTTCACAAACACCAGTAGTATTCTTAACCTCCAATAGTAGCTGAAACAATAGTAATTCCACCTAATCTCATCCCTACCTTCGACACAGACTCCCTCTTCAACTTCGTCAGCTTTATTTATAAACTTTAATTTCCCTTTAAAATTTCTCACCACCCTTACTGATTCTGCATCTGGCATACTCTTCACCTTCGCTAGTCTCTGATCTGGCATAGTACGTCTTCAGCACATCCTGCACTATGTGGCCCTTGTGAGTGTGGCGCTTAGTTTTGATTGTAATAATCCACTTGAGCTCAGCCCGACAGTGTTATCCTCAGCAGTAGCTGAAACAACAGTATGTCCACTCATCTCATCCTACCAGTAGCGGTGTCATCCCCAGCAGCAACTGAAAAGCAGTAGTTCCACTCGACCTCTTTCTCTTGAATATGTAGTATACTAAAGCTCCTTTGAATGCTGTATTTTCAAGGAGTTCTTTGAAGCTCATGTTCTCCGGCCTCGAGGATTCTGTGTGATACGCATTTCCTCCAGTCCCTTTGAGTTGCTCTTTTCTCTTGTTATATCTTCCCCTTTCTCTGCTCTCCTCTCACTCGTCTATATCAGGTTCGTAACAGAATATAACTGTGGCACCTCTGAATGCCTATGTTAACTAATGCACACAAAAAAGCGCATTATTTTTACGCCACGTCCCAGAATATCTTGCTGGAAAAAATAAATTTTGATGACAGCTTGTCAAGAACTTGATGAATGGCAGAGCTCGACAAACTTTACCAGATTTTTGTGAAATGATTAAAAGTCTGAGTGTTGGAGGTTACACCACTGTGTAGTTTAGTGTTACTACGTAGACCTCAGTATTTATCGTCATCATATTTTTAAGGAGTTTGTGGGGGTTGGGCTCCATCTCTTGGTGCAGCATTTTAAATTTTCGACGAACTGAAGTAGTATAACCCTCACTCTAATAATGTTCACTTTTGACGTGTAATTTATGGTCATAATTATAACCATATTTTTTTTTTAAAAGGGGTGGACCGATAAGCCAGTGGAAGACCTCGGTCAGATGACCAAAAGCTCCAACAGCGGGTCATCATATTGACTAAGACCCGCATCAGGTAACAATTCTGTTTCCTGACAAACTCCCCTCAAGGAAGGTTCCTTGATGTTGGTGAGGGGCTCTTGATTTAGGGAATTGGATCTGTGCTCCAGTTCCCCGAATTAAGCCTGAATGCCTTCCACATCCCCCCCCCAGGTGCTGTATAATCCTCCGGGTTTAGCGCTTCCCCCTTGATTATACTAATAATAATCCTGACAGACTGCATCTAACCTGCCGTCTCACTGGTCAGGTTACTACGCTTCATCAATTATATTAAAGAAAATGTTTTTTAATATCCGTGTATTATTTAGATGCTCTATCGCTCTTGTTACGTGATTATTATAGTCTATCCTTGTTTAACCTGTCTGTGCCCCAGAATATTTTAAATGATTTCTCATTTTTTAAGTAACATAAGGCCTGCCTATATATATATATATTTTTTTTTGCATAGCTAATTCGCCTTAACTTGGAAACTATTCTGGATGTTGAGGAAAAGGACACAAGGGCAACTAATGTGAATTTTTTGTGGCAATATGTATCAAGCCGTTACGGCTTGATAAAGCCGTATAATTATCACAATGAAATGTCACATTAGTTGCACTTGTGTCCTTTTACTTAACATATTGTCGGTAATTCTACCAACATTAATACTATTCGGGATGCGCTAGTTTGCACTGTGTTCGTGCAAACTAGCGGGGCAGGAGTGAATATTTGTGTGTTTAGAACCGTGTATTATGAGTGTTGAGATGTATAGCCCTTGTGGCTTAGCGCTTCTTTTTTATAATAATAATATGAGTGTTGAGCAGAGCAGTGATTATTTCCTTAATAACAATAGCG